GATTCTCGTGCAGGGGCTCCGCGGCGTGCGAGGAAAAGCCATGGCCCTGGATCGCTTCCTGCACCACGAAATCGAGCCGGCCGCCCAACGTATTTTCGACGCGGCCGTGTTGGATCACGCGGAAGCCTGCCGCCTCCTGGATGGAAAGCCCGTGCCGGCTTTCGCCGGCGGCGCACAAACCGCCTCCTCGAAACACCAGCAGGAGGGCCAGGGGGGTCTTAGAGGAGGGAGCAAGCCGACCATCGTCAGTAGCAACAACGAAATTGGGAGCGACCCCGCAGCAGCAGCAGCAGCAGCAGTAGGAGAGGACGACGTCGGCGTTGCGACGGGCAAAGCTCCAGGCACTGCACCTGCGACCGCAACAGCGCCGGCGGCTGCAGTGTCGGGGGCGAGGGGTAATGCTAACCCTACCGAGCCGCGGCAACGGGCAAAGAGGGCTGGGGTGATCCAGCCGCCGCCGCCGCCGCCGCCGCCGCCGCCGTCGTCGACCAGTGTGCGAGCTAGCTTGCCAGTGAAAGGAAGGCAGGGCGCCGTCACTGGTGGCGCGTTCGATCGTCCTCGCATCATCGATTTCACCGGCGGCGGCGGTGGTGGTGGCGGCAGTTATAGTGCTCGCTCGAAGATTGTACCCGGTAGGCGCCGCCTCCTCGTTGAAGACAACTCCAGGAAGAGAGAATTCCAGAAGGAAGGGGGAGGGGGACACAGGGGTGGATCGAAAGGTTCCCAAGGAGAGCGGGCGGTGGCTACGGGTTCTAGTTCTGGTGGCTTTGCCGGCGACGACGTCCTGGCGAGAGCGGCGTCATGTGGACGAAGGGAGAGGCAGTTACGCGGTGGCGGCGTTGTTGTTGTTGCTGCTGCTGCTGCTGCTGCTGCTGCTAGGAGGAGTTACGACTTCGAGGAGGAAGACGATGACGTGTGGGACGCGCCGCTTCCTGGCAGGCTGGTGAGAAAAAAAACACGTTCTGGGGGAGTTGGGTGTGCGGAAGGGGTCATACCACGTTTCGCGTGCTTGTGGAAGTATGCATACTACGCCCCGACATGAATCAATCGAGACGGCTAGAGCACCGGCGCGGATTCCAGGCAGCAGCTTTATATGTTACGACAGGAGGCCACCGGTGATAAGTTTTCTCTTCCATATAGAAAAACATCAGTGTTTCCAAGTCAGTTCTTGATTCCTTACAACGTGGGAGAAACCAGTGGCATCACCTCCCGCTGGTCGGTGCCGGCCATCCTCCCATATCCTCCTTTCTTTTCTTGGGGAAGTAAGCTCTTCTCTCTCATGCCTTGTTGTTGTCGCAGCTGAGAACCCTCTTGAAAGACCATTCCAAGTCTCGAGTATCCCTGCTGTATTGCTGTATCCATCGGCCTCTCTCTCTCTCTCTTTCTCTCTCTCTCTCTCTCTCTCTCGCTCTCTCTCTCTCTCTCTCTCTCTCTGTGTGTGTTCCCGCTGAACTCGTTGTCATAGCGCGCGACCGATATCAGCGCCAAGATCGTGGGACTGTCATCCGAGATCAGGCGCCGGGCAGCAGCCGATGCCGGAGGAGAAAGTCATCGCAAGCAGTAGCGGCACCGCGGTGTTACGGCCACGGCGGAAGGAGGAGCGTAAACTCGGGTGCTTCTGGAACACCGTGTGCTTGAGGGCAGCCTGCCGGAGAGGCTTTTGGGCTCATAAAGGGCGACGTGTTGCACACAGCAGCAGCTCGCAGAAACAGCACATCGCGGTGTGTAGAGCCTTCCGTTCGAGGGCTGCAGTCAGCCGGCAAACGGAACAGACTCTTATATTTCTGATGATCGAATCGCTTGGAATCGAATCGATTCCAAATGGACGGATGGACCGAAGGGACGCACGCGCGATTGAAGCAACGGTCGATAGGCCGCGCGCTTGTTGAACCCGAGAGGAGAAAGCGCAATCCAGCTCCATCTGAAGCGTTGGTGGCATGCATGCTACCAAGAGCGCTGTTGCCGTGGTGCCTTGATGTCCGTACGCAGGCAAAAAGAATGACAAGTGCGTGGCTTTTGTCTTCCCTGGTTTGAGAGGGTGAATTCCTGTGGACTGTGGAAGCTGCCGTTCGTCTGCGATAGATATAGACTTGACATGTTTTCCAAGAGGCCACTTTGCCTCGTGCATCGAAGCATGTATGTGCGTTTGGAAGCATGCACCGCTTTTCTTTTCGCGTTGGCTCGGGGGGACACTTGTATTGTTGGCGCTGAGGCGCGGCGCTCCGGGGGGGAGGGGCCATCACCTGCCTCCGCGTGCTCTGTGAGGTTAGTAGTTGGCACCAAAGGGTGTGTTGCATGAGTTTCGGGAGCGTGAGTTGTTTGTTCTGTGTACTATAGAACGTCCTGTAGCTGTTGCCCTGGTAAAATTGAAACCTTGGGAGTATTCGTGTTTGATATCAGGGGGGTGTTAGTGTCATAGAAGGAAGCCAGCGACCCTGCGTAGGAGCAATGTTGGTGTTTTCCTTCTGCTTCTGCTGTTCTTCGTCGTTTTCGCTTCTCTTCGCAGAAGCACGCATGGTACATCAACAATTGTACGGTGTAGATCGCGAATTGTTTTTGCTTTGGTGTTCTGTGCGAGGTGAAGCAGTATTGTTTTATGACGAGAGCACGGCAACACGTTGTCTTTTATGTGGTGTTGCCCGTGCTTGTGTCTCGCGTTGCTTCTTTCAGCATGGTGTGTTCGTTGGTTCTGGTTCTCTGAGACGTGACGACGGCCACGTTTCGTGGCCCGGGCTCACTTTCCCTGCATTTTTTTGTGCGTTGTTTCGCCAACAGTTTTTGTGCACGTCGCCGGTTGTCCACCTTCCCGTGGAGTTCGATCCAACAAGGATGGGTTGGATAGCCCTTTGTTTTCTGGTAGCTCCTGTCGTATTTCCTGTGGTAGAGGAACGAAGCAGGGGGGGTACAACGGTCTACTGCTGTACTTTTGTCATGATTTGTTTCTGCTTGTCTTCCTCTTTTTTTTTTCTGCTCGCTCTACCACAGTGTCGTGATAGGTAGGGACGGTCCGATTCTGTTTTGTGAAATATTTATGCTCTGATCTGTGGGAGGCGTCTTTTGGTAGACTGCGGGGTCGGGTGAGATGGCTCTAGTTCTCCACCCCCCTCCGCCCTCCCCTATTTTCTGTTGATAGCGAACGCTGTTGTTTCGGCATCACCCCTCAGCGGGGGGCAGCGCTCGCGTCTAAAATGTGTTTGCCATGTTAGTAGTGATGTGACGGTACACCACCGTGCCTGTCTTGCCGTAGTGGCAATGTCAACATCTGTTTTCGTGCTTTACGTCAGCGAGCGACTTTGATTGTTGGAGCGTTGTATGCAAAGCGGTAGGCGCTCCACATGGTACAGAACGCACCGCCACTTGAAGGTCTTCGTATGCGAGCGGTAAGGTCTCTTATGTTTCACGAGGCTCGTTTGTTGTGAACCGCGTGGGGTGGGCCAATAGCGACAATTCCATTGTTTTTTTGTCTAGGACTCTTTGGCTGGGCACCTGTTGTTATGGTCGAGTTCTTCCATTGATGTAATTTTATCCGCCAAAAAAGGCGCGTGCTGTAGGTAATGTAGTGATTCGAGTCCCTTCGGTATATCGGCTAAATGTTTTCGTGCCTTTGTTGATGCGGCAGGGCGTTGGGTACGGGGCTTTATGTTCGAATGCACGGTAATAATTCGGCGGTAGGCTGGTGGTTGTTGGCAGCGTTTCGTGATGTGAAGAGGACTGTTCTGCAGGGGGAAGGGAACGCTGTGTTGCATATGTTTCAGGCGTTTTGGGATGATACGGACGGGGGTGGGCTTTATTGAAGTCGCCAACCGCTGCCCCGTGGTGTCCAGTTGCATGTACCCTGTTCGTAAATATAGAGAAAGTACGCGTTTCCCAATGTATCGTTCGACCTGCTAGCCCTTAGATTCGTCACGAGGGCGTCAAGTTCGTGTTTCTCTTGAAGTGGAAGAAACCGGTGGAGACGTTTACGCCATATCATAAGAGTTGGGGCCCCAGGTGTCAGGAGGGAATATGGTCGTTATTCAGCAGGTGGCTATTTGCCGGGCATAGCGGCTATTGGTCGGGGTGCGACGCGATTTTTTGTGGTCGCTCTACGGGGCATGTCGCTAAACCGGGGGTCGCTAAACTGGGCCCACCGCTGTACTGTGAGGGACCCTGTGCGGGTGCGACATGTGTCATAGACCTCTTAGCAGATTGTGTTGGTGCAAAGCAACTATGCAATCATAGCATCGTTTCTCCCACCACAATTCGAAGGATTTGTGCATCATTTGTTTGAGGGTGCGGACAGCCGCGGTTCAAGGTGAAGTTGTGGATGTACCGAAGGCGCAGTGGTGAAGGACATGGTAGATTCGCCAGTGGCAGTGTTACTGGGGAGCGTGATGTTTGTGGTGATTGATGTATCCGCTCGTTGATAGGGGGACCGGGGGGAGGTGATTTAGCGCGTACGTACGAGTGTCCTGCCTGTTGCGGTTTTCGATGTGTGCCTTGATATTTTACGCACCAGGGTGTCTGGTTGCCCGCATGAAAGTAAGCGATGGGGAGCTGTGCAGTGAATGGAAAAAATGTTCTCTGTGTTTAGAACGCCTTGGGGCGTGTTGTGCCAAGATGAAGGGCTCGTAAGGATAAGATGGGGGAGGGGGGCTTCGGCCGAACTTTTCAGTAAGGAAAATATCGGGGTGTCCCTCAGATTGGGTTGGATTGGGTTGTCTCTTCCAAATCCTTTGGAAAGTCCCCACTGGCTGTCTAAGTCAACATGACTATTGGGAGGCAAAGCCATAACATAGGTCAATAAATGGGATAGCGATGAAAACAAAACATGTGTGCAAGATTCTCTACTGCCTGTCATAGAGCACAGTGCAACAAGGTATTCTTGAGGGTTTGTCATACCCACCAAAAAGACCAGAGCCTCGGAACTAGCGAACAACTCAGACTTTCGGGCGGGACACGCAGACACCTTGCCTTCCCCCCAAGTGATATCACGCACATCAGAACCGTACAATCCAAACAAGCTTGTTTCAGCCAAGATAATTTGAGTACATACATGAAGATATGACAACAAAATAACACCCAACAGCACATTCATGTGGACACACCCTCGTTCAGGGCCGTTTTGTACAGTGTCAAAACGCCCAAGTACGGGCAACGGAATTCCACCTGTTCGCCTTAAACACCGCGGAGGCAGGCGGATTGTTTAGAGGTTAGAAGAGCTGCAAAGAACAGCAACACCACAACGACACGTGGTCACCATAAATAATGTAATTGGAAACATTTGAACGCCCTGTGTACTTTCCCCAAACACAGCAGTTTTGTGTTTTCAGCCCCACTGAGACTGACGGCTTTTCATTGGTCGGCCGGTTAGCGCGGTCGATGCCAAATGATAAAAACACACCCAAAATTACACCGTACCAGGTATGTATGTATGTAGAAAGCCTAGACAAGAATAAGAACAACGGACCCTCTAAGAACAACGAACCCTCTCCACCGGTGCGCCCCAACACGCATTCCTCCCGTTCGCGCGCCCCCCTATTTTACGTATTAACGTATTCCTCCCCTTCGCTTCAAGCAGTGAAACAATCCAAAAGTGAGGAAGGGCAGCGAGCCAACAAATGTGCTCGTTTGGCATCCAGGGGGGGCACACATGAGGTCGTACGCGCCCAGCCCGTATTTCGAAAAGCGCTTCGTCGACGCGTTGACGCACTGGGGCTGCCCCGATAGATACTTACAGTCATCCCGCACAAATACTTGCATGGGGATAACTGGATCCAACAAAGCCAATGACCCTCACTAGCGCGCTTACGCCTCGCTACCTCGCACTATTGGGGGGACCCTGACCGTACTGCGCGCTTCAGGCCGGGCGCTCAGTCACTCGTAATCTACAACCCAAAACATCCTCCAGATCTGCACGTTACCCACACAACCGACACGCGCTTAGAGGAACAAGGCGGCACCGGACACGCTTGGTTGTCGGCGACAACGCACGTGCGTAAATGATACCATGCAGGCGTACGATATGGGAATCATTCCGGTAACACCGCCCGCGCATGTCGAGTTTCGTCACGTTCATTTCAAAAAAAAAAGCCTGATAAAAACCCGACCGTAGATTCAACTACAGATTTTGAGTGATCGATCTGGAGAACGCAGTGTTACCCCCGACTCACCCCGTCCACTCCCACTATCGCAAACCCGCATGCACTGGGGGGTGGTCCAACCGTTAAGGGCAACATCAGGCAAACAAGAGTATCTGCGGTGCTGTGGGAGCTGCTGACTATGAACGGCTCTTAGTATTCGTTGTCTCAGGGCAGGAAGCTCGCGGAACACGGCATTTGCGACTACAAAAACTCAAAGCCAGCAGCCCCGTGGCGTATGGCCACCAGGAGGTTTTTCCTGAGAGAGTAAAGGTCCGGGTATCGCGGCAGCTTGAGCATGTAGAAGCACGTCGCTGCCATTGGCAGCGGCCTCTCAGGATCGTAGTCGATCATCGCCACCTAACAAAAACAACCAAATAGACGGTTGGGGGAGATATGTCTAGGTGGGACTGATGTTACCGTTCCCGATCGGTGAGTGTATTGCGAGGACGCGTAAAATACAACAAAAGACAAAAGAAAGCAGGACGCGCGGGTGGACGGATCCGAAATCGCTGCAAACAAGATGAGCGGGCCGTGCGTAAGAATCGGCTCGAATCAATCCCGTGTTTTGTGCACACAACACGAACATGATAATAAGCGAGTCGACCGGCATTTGGCAGCTGATCGATACTTAAAACGTTCGCGACAAGGCGCAAAAGAGAAACATCAATGCGGAAGATCAAGGAACACGTTGTATGAGAGAGCATAGAACAGGCGATCGAACAGCAGAAAATGGTGCGACCGAAAAATACGCCATACCCACACTGTACTATGTAGCCATTTTCTACGATCTCTTTCTCTCTCCCTCGAGGTTCCTGTCTGCCTGTCCGTCTGTCTGTCTGTCTATCTGTCTGTCTATCGCTGTCTACCTCTCTCCCTATCTTTCTCTCTGTCACTCCAGCGCAAGCGTCCGTATGTATCTCTTAGGCAAACGCTTGGCTTACCGTAAACGTACGGGGGGCCAGACCCCTGAACCCTCCCGCCGGCAGCCTGGAACACCCCGTGGCGAACTGAAGCAGCAGCGACCGCTCTTCCTTGGTCAGAGAGCGCACCACGTTCCAGAACCACCTCCGCAACATCGCCGACGGCTCTCCCGTGAAGTTTGCGTTTCTGGAGTTGACCGGAAGAAATAGATTCCGAGCATGAGAAGCACAAGCAAAGAGAACGGCAGCATCGAGTGTTAGAAGTTCGTGCATTCTCCGCTGTGCGCTGTTTTTTCATTCGGACGGACAGACCACGGGACTGGCGAGCGGAATGGATGGCGCCCGTCTGATCGGAACCAAAGAAAAGGCTAGAGTGATTCAAGTCTGCGGCAGTCGTTACCCACGCACGGAACTCTGCGTATTGTTGTCGAAGTCAACACGTGCGTCAACTACAAGAAGGGAATCCAACCCCCCTCCCCCCCTAGTTGAAAAGACCCCCAAAAGAAACTATTTGACGAATCGGGGAGCAAAAAACTCGCGTCGTGATATACTCCAATCGCGCCGCCGCGGGTCCAGACAGCCGTTTAGTATTCTTCTCGACAAGAATCGCTCGAGGGAGGGGTTCACCCACCCCCGAGGGATACAGCTATCCTTGCAAACCGTCATCGTATTATTCGAGGAAAGATAATACAAACCACATACTTGTGTACAGTCGCCGGTGATCACATGGTTTCACCGAAAGTCGGGACAGCTTTTCATGGAAACGGTGCCGACGATTGAAGGACCTTGATGCCAGAAACCCGTCAACGAAAAAAACGGAACACAAAAAAAAATCCTCCAGACATCCACTGATGATGTATTCGCTCACTAAAAAGAAACACTACCAGGTAAAGGCCTGAAGAACGCCTGACCACTACATTCCAGGACAAACGCCTCCATACACCCCCCCAAAGAACTATATAAAAAAAACGCCTCCTCACCTCTCCCAGTCGCCAGGGTCGATGTCTCCAGGCCCCGCTAAGAGCAGGCCAAGCTCGTTCTCCGTGAACATCTTGAGCAGGCCCAGGGGCACCAACCTCCGCATGCCGTGGGCGAGGGCCTTGGCCTGCTTCCGCCAGCGGCCGGCCGTCTTGCTCTCCAGTGCAAGCTTGGCGTAGAGCGCCTGATCTCGACACAACCAACAGAGGAACATCAGATCACCATTGTTAATGCTTCGACAGACGAAACGTTCGGCATTTTTCAGAAAAAAACTGCTGTGTGCACAGGCAAGAAGAGATGGTTGCTCGTCAGGGAGGGAAAAAGAGTGTACGGAACCGAAGTGTTCTTATTCTCAAAACATATACCAAAGCAATAGCACCCACAAATGAGGTGGGTTTAGGGAAGCTGAGCTTGAAGAGGACAAGAGAGAGCAACCAAAATGATCAAAAACACAATTAGCAAAGAGGACGAGACGGAGGAAGACACGGGTTTTTTTCGGCCATGCGAGGGCGCACGACCCGTCACGATCTTTGCATCAAATAGAGGCATGGGGCTGTGTTTGTATGAGACGCCGCAGTGCCTGGAAACGCTATTCCGACGACTGCTGTGTTTTCGTAACCACCTGCCATTTCGGACTCTCTGCCTTCCCTCTCGGGGCCGGGTACGCAGGCAAGGGGCAGGGGCCAGGGGTCACGGGGGAAGCATGGCTGTAGACGTACGGACATGATGGTGCAGACAGAATATAGTAGCGTTCATTTGAACGAATTTTTGCGAAGAGCCAGGTGTGAGAAAGCAACAACTGCAACGACAACAACAACAACAACAACAACAACAACAACAACAACAACAACAACAACAACAACGACGACGACGACGACGACGACGACGGCAGCAAGCACCTTGTTTTCGTCGGTGACGGCATCGTCGGGGTCTATACCCTCCGTGTCGGCGCAGAAGTTGAGCGCGAGGTCTCCGAACTGCAGGCAAAACTGATCGACGCCCTCCGTCTCCAGTATCTGCATGAGGCTCCTGCGCCGCCGCAGATGCAGCGCGAACCAAAAGCACGAGCAGCACATGAATTTGAAATCAGTTTTTGATGGGGGAGTCGCGGCGCGAACGGCGGCCGAATCGGAAGGAATCGTGGAATATCGCATCCATCACCGCGGCCATCGGGGATATCTGATGGTGGCTTGGGCTCGATTGGCGATGACCAATGTGGTCCGTATCGGGAGGGGACTGCTGGGCAAGACATACGAGTGCTTGATCAAAAGCAGAGCTGTCTTCATTTTATCTATAGTTGCCATGAGTTTTGTGAGAATATGCAATGCATCCAAAGCTATTGCGTGTTTTGACTTGGGAAGTCATGGACATCAATCCGACAAGAACAAGGTCAACGACCAACACACACTAGTGTAACTCACTTGTAATACATAGGGTCCACCAGCTCGAGGTCGGACTGGCGCACCTTCCGCGACAACATGACCTTCCACACTACCGGGTTCAGGTTCAGGTTCAGAACCTTTTTTGGCACACATCGACGAAGAGAGATCGACCAAGTGAGAAAAAAACGCGGCGAAAACATACAATGTATCGACGAATCAGCAGCACTGACACGGAAGAAAGCACCGGCAGGGTAACTAAAGCAAAGACATCAACCCAATACTGCGGACACACACTAACGATACGCTTCGTCCGCACATGTCGAGAGATACGAAAGAAGCGACAACACGGGCACTGACTGATGAGTCCCCAGTTGGTTCAGTTTCCGTTTGCCGCGTTTGTTGCGCAATGAAAGAGAACACGCGCGTAGGAACAGAACGGGTCCGCAACTAAAATATCTAAATTCCCGTCAGAGGTCCAATTTCTTATTTCGCCGCCTCCTTCGAGCACAAGCTGTAGCATAGAAGTAGACGTTGGTGGAGGGCCCTCCGTTGTGCTGTGCTACTTAAACGGAAGTGTTCTTTCTTTCGTGGAAAACACATCAATACGCTGGGTGTTGACTTCCCGACATCAAACGTGGGGTATCTTGTGCAACCCTACGTTATGTCTTTCTTCATCTCTATGATACACCTTGTTCCAGGCCAGATTCGCCCCGATCAAGATGCCCAGTAGCTCGAACGCTTCCAAGTCTTTATCTCCCTCCCGCCGACCGTGCAACGCCGCCTCTCCACTCCCCCCCTCCCCGCACCGCAAATCCCGCGGACAGTAGGACGACATGCCCTCGTCCACGGGTACGAAGAACGCCTCGTTCTTCGTGGCTCCATCGACCCCGTTCTTGGCGGCCGCCCCGGCCCCCGATACCGCCTGCGCTACTGCTGTTAACTGCTGCTGCTGCTGCTGCTGCTGCTCCTGCTGCTGATGTTGCTGATACGGCGGCGGCGGGAAAGGGAGGACGAGGTCTCCGGCGATCATCTCCCACGCCTCGCGCTCCACTCCCTGACCGTACCCGGCCTCTTTGTCGAAGGTGAAAGCCGGCTGGTGGACCCTGGAAAGAACGATGAAGCGAATGAGACATGGAGGGGAGACGGCAGCAGCGAGGTCACAGATGACGAAGGCATGGTAATGCGGTCGGTTTGGTAGCAACAGAAAACTCACAACGGGTTGTCAACATGAGACGCTTCATCCAGCCCTCGGGATGGCAGTTTTCTACCCTATGGTCATAAAACGCCTCAAACGACCTGTGTGTTCCCCACCCTCCCTCCCCATCGCTGGTCTGTGTCTCCCGCACCCTTATATGCATGGTCTCCCTGACTGACTCCCCTCTCCATTTTCTTCTCCGTCTCCCTTCTTCTCCCTCCTTTTGCTTTCAAACTGGAGCGAAAACTGGCCAGGCCTGAGAGGACGGGGGTCTATCGAGAAAACCGCCTAACGCTTTCCTCGGCGTGATATCTCCACCAACCGAAACCAACGAGCTCGTACAGACGTGATTAAAGGTAAGATTCGGCTGCCCCACATGATGGTTTGGGCAAATAGTAAGAGCTGGGACGGGCTAGATTTGCCACTGCTGCAGTTGACATCGCACCTTATTCGCGTCTGAACTGGAGTCATATATGTCTCACTCTATAAACGCCTTTCACCTCTGGGGGAAATACTGACTTGAACGGAAACAAGTCCAGCTTTCATCGAAGATTGTTTTGCCACCATTGCATCGCCACCCTTCCTGCCCGCGCCCCGAGACCCGTCGCTTTTGATAGCGTCGTCGAGCACAGGTAGCTGTGCGTTTTTTTGCCACATGAACTCGCGAACAGCACTGTGGTACCCAGTGGGAACCGCACAATAGTTACGGGGACCCCGCTTAGAGGCCACACCAGGTGCAGCAAGAAACCGCAGACAAGAACAACAAGAACGACAAAATAAGGTGGTCACCTGAGCCAGGCGGCAAGCCCTTCCTCTCGCCACCGACGGACCGCGCTCTCCATCCAGGTTAGCAGAGCGCCCAAAGCCTGCCCAGCGCCACGGCGGATGCAGATCCGGCCATCGAACTCGTAGCTGAAGCCGCCCATGGGAGGCTTTTTTCAACATGGGGGGGGGCAGGGGAGGTGCAGCTGGGACGTGTAAACGTACAAGCTCGGCCGTTGTTGCTTCATTCTTCGCCCTCGAAACAAACCATCCGCAAACCGCAAGAGTCACAACATGAAAACAAAAAGGAACGGTCGGCAAAAAGAAACATTGATTTCCGACTTCACCTGATCACACAAAATTTTTCGTTGCACATACATCGAAAACTCGGTCATCACTATTCTTTGGGTGTTTTCAACGGATGCAGTCGTAATTCCGCAAATTTGTGCAATGAATGAACGCAATATCCGGTAAACTTCTCTGTCCTTCCGGTAGTACGTATTTCCTACGAAATGCCTGCCCTTCCGATGACAGTAGGCATATCCCAGAAAAAAAAAAAACGTATACTTCTCCCGGAAAAATCATTACTCCCGGGAAAATGTATTGAGTATCATCCGGTTTGCAGGTACAGTCGATTTTCGCGAGGGGATAGCCAAGCCAGAGAGGGTTACACATTAGGGCCGAAGAGGTCGACGTCAATACCGATTCATGACGTGCATGGGGACAGCTGAGCCACGGGGAAGGGCAGGCGGGGTCAATCTCACGAAGGCGAGGAAGTTATGATCGTGGCGAGTGTCCTCATCGTGGTTGTCGATGAGCATCCGCATGAGGACCCTCTTGTTCTCGAAGTCCAGCAGTCCCGGCACGTCCTTGAGGAAGCTGAGGGAGCCGAGCAGGAGGTCCGGCTTCTCCCGGATGAACCTTACCGCCACCGCCACGGCCGCCGCCGCCAGGAGAAGGAGGGCCGAAAAGCAGCAAAGCAAGCGCGGGCAGGCGTGTGCGTGGTTTTGCTTGGCGCTCGCAAAAAACAGAGAGACCAACAACATTTTTCATAGCTCGCAGGGCGATCGTAGTAGGAGCCGCTAGAGGGCGATTGCGATCAATGCCACGAGCAGCAGCAGCATCAGCATCAGCAGCAGCAGCAGTAGCAAGAAAAAGTATAGAATAAGACAAACAGCAGCACCATTATCATCAGCAGCAATTGCTCCGTTCACCACACCGTTTACCAAGCTTATTGAAGATTCGAAGGACCCCCGTAGACGTCCATCCCCCCGAAGCAAACACATTATCAATCACGACACCGATCCGCCGACTAAACGGCAGACAGACATGAAGAACACGCGGTAAGTAACCAAGGCCCGGGGCATTGCTGAAGCTCGTGCGCGGGAGGATCCTCCTCAGCAGAGGAAGCAACAACTCGTACGGTAGAGATAAACGCTGCCGGAACGACCACCGGCGAAGAACGGCGACAACGACACAAATACACGCGGTAGGTCTCTGTACCGGGCGGCCCAGTGGTGCCATGGGAAGGCCGGTCATTATTCCGGGCACCCGACACTACTCTATTCACGACACGACTTGAATACTCCGTCCTTGTCACGCGATTTCACCGCGCTTTTACCGGGCGACCGGCCTTACTCGCTACCGACCTTACAACCCGACCAATACTACCGTAAACAAGGACCGCCATCCACTACTGCTGTATCTCAATCAGCTCAAGAAAACCGACGAAGAAGATGACCGAGCACAAGCCCACCGTCAGCCCATTTTCGTGTCTCACCTGTTGACCAGGGAGAAGAAAGAGGGGACGGTCACCAGGTTCTGCACGACCTCCACGATTCTCGAATGGTGGCGTTGGTCGATGCCGACGCCGCCGCGGGAAGAGAGGACCCTGCCCAGCGCCTCCAGCTGCTTCTCGGGCTCGTGCTGAAGCAGCTCCAGCACGGCGCCCTCCTGGAGCGAGTGAGGACGAAAGGTAACAAGGGATAGGGTTAGGGTTAAGCGTGAGAGTTGAGTTCTGGCTCGCCCTCCACGGCGGCATGTGTGTGTGCTCTGCAGGGCAGCGGGAGTTAGGAGGCTTGGCACAAGGAAAGCTTCCTCTGTTGCTGCTCTGTTTGTTGTGTGGCGCGTCATCAAGGTAGAATTGTTTCGGGGTTGGGCTAGGGAAAGTGCCGGCAAGACCTTTCGAGACTGTAGTACCCGTAGTGCACACGGAGGGTGAGTTTTGCCTTGGTACCGGCAAAGCCGGTTATGGCTCTGAGGCTTCATATGGGAGTTGCGGTAGAACACTGAAGCTCAAACGACAAACAACACCCTTTCCTTCCCTCCCTCCTTGCCCCCCCCAACCCCAAGACGCACCAAGGTGCTCTTGCCCAGCCGTCCTCCGTTTCGTTCGAACGTAATTTTCGTTATATTTTCCTGCTTCCCTAACGTTCACCAAGGATGACTGTTTGTCCCTGTGTCACTTTTTTCTTTTTAGTAGAGAGGTGTCTCGCCGTTGTTCCGCCTCCCCCCCCTCCTCTCACTTTTGTGATGAGCGCTAGGGTCTTGGGGGAAGTGGGGCGGCGCGCGTGACTTTCGAAAACACCTTCATCCTGTTATGTTTTCACCTCTGTTTCGTCCGTCGTTATGCATATGTGTACCCGTCTTTTTTCGCTTGTTCCTTGGCAGGCGGTAGACACGAAAATATTCCGACGAGTGGTCTACTACCTCTGTCCCCTGCCCCCCGAAGTCAGGGCTGCATGACGTGGGGCGCGCAAGCAAATTTATTCGCCGCCAAGGCTATTATCCCCGTCGCGCTTTTCCGTTCGTGTCGTAGCGGAGGCACATACATGCGCGCGAATTTTCCACGCCAGCACTGCTGCTTCTGGCCCACCTTTCTTCCCCCGAAGTCGGCATACATGACGGGCGTCCACCCTTGCCGATCCTCTAGTACCGAGTTCGCCCCTTCGGTCAGCAGCAGAGTTACCTTGATTTGGAGGGAGAGGGGGGGGGGTTCCGTGAAGAGAAGCGCGAGAACGTCTCTCTGCAATTGCAGCGGTGGGCAATTGGACGAATCGGCACCAGCAACGTACGATTTTTGTTGTTGTGGTTGGTCTAGAGCCGTGGATGGCCTGGAGGGGTCGTGTTTACGCCATCGGCTGTAGCGTCCACGAAATAGCGAACAACGCAAACTGAGTGGTATGGAGAACGGCATCCAGGAGCGATCCTGTCGTTGTACGCCGCGGTGCGGCAATGTTCAAAGTGGGCCAAGAGGCAAGTAGGTGGGGTAACCGGCTTCCACACAATAACCTCCCCACAAAGGAAGAGCTGTACAACTCTAAGCCTAAAAGCAGAGACGTGATTTCTTATTTGTGCATGCTATGCATGTCTTCAACAGCCTCACAGAAAATGCCCCCCCCCAAACATAGTTGCGAGTACAGTACGCCCGTGTGATGCCCTCTGCCCACTGTTTCTCGCTCTCTCGCTCTCGCTGTCTGTCTCTCTATGATCCCTCTCTCTTTCTTGCTCCCCCCACCCCCATCACCATTTCCTTGTGAGAGATGGCCGCGGCGAGGTGCAAGGGAGAAGCGTGGTTGTTAGCGTCTCCGCCGTTGATATTCGCCTCCTCCCCCCATCCCGCCGAGTAATCGCACGCCAGCAACCTCTCCGCGGCAAGAACCGCCTTCGCAGCCGAAACGGAGCCTGATTTTCGCCGGGTCGTATCGTGGTGCAAGAATAAACACACAGATCGTACGTGCAGACGTCATGCACACGTCATTCTTAGCAATCTATGCAGATCTCCGTAGATCGGCAGCAGTTCTTTCCCCCCTAACGTCGGAGCGCGGGGGGGGGATCGAGCTTGTCGTCGATGTCCTCGCAACGAAAAAGTGGTGCCACGTTTTGTGAGATTTCGATGCCACTGGTGGTGACAAAAATAAAAAAAAGATGCGTTCCGAGAACGACAGAAGAGCATGCCATTGACTCGTCGTAACTCAAGTTTGTGAGAGGTGAGAGTTATGACGGCCTTTCAAAACGGAAAGGGAGAAAGAAAAACAGTTGGAGCGGCGTACAAAACCAGAAGGATAACGCCGACGGAAGACCAGTACCAATCGTGTAGGCCCCAAGGACATCAGGGACGGCAGCAGGGAGTAACGCCTCGGAATCATCAGTAGGCTTGCTGCTGCCCCCTGGACCGAAAACAAGTCAGGGTTCCTGCCCCTCACAAGCGACATGGGTATTTTGCATGTTGTACGTAGATCTTGCGGCACTTATGGCACAAAATAACGAGCTGGAAAATGCTCCTACGAAGTACTTCTACATGGTTTCGAGTTGCCTCTTCGCTATCAGCCACACGCACGCGCTACGTCAGTGTCTACCAAGCAACACGGTTGTCCATCCACAAGACACCAACAGCCGTCATGAGAAAAAAGAAACAACACAGCTCAGAGAGACAAGGAGATTGGTTGAAACATAGAAACATAGATAGACATAGAGGGAGGAACCGGAAGCAAAGGGGAAGACAACATGCTGCGCACGGAATAGGATTCTACTTCGAATTAACGTCGGTTCAGCCACCCACAAAGCGACAACCCCCAACTCGAGTAATGCATGAGAGCAGTCCCGAGTTGACAAGACACGGCACGGGAGAGGATAGGGTGACTCGCGTACAAAACCCGACGCCCCACGCCCCACACGCCTCCCCCCCCCCC